GTTATTATTATTATTATTAATTAACCCATACATGGTGTTTTGTTGGTGGCCATTAGTGGTTATATTAACTTGTTTCTCGTCTTTTTAGGTCTTCCAACGTCATCCACAGCGCTTAAACCATCAGGTAAGATTACCACCTGCAGGCTACGTTAAAAATGGATAAAGAAACATTCTTAACCAAACCCGCGGTCAATCTTCTTTTCTTATATGATATGATATACGTTTCTTTTCAAAGCAAAGCTTCTTCTAAAACACTTTTGGACTCTTCTCAAAGTAACGGCCTGCTTCCTTTAATGAACGAGAAAGAACAAAATAGGATGAGGGGTATGCGAGTTAATTCCCCAATATAGGCCTTATTATCAAGGTAGTGCCGCGCCTCTGGAGTTATTTATATTTGGTATTCAGTCCTCTCGCGGATTCATTTATCATGCGCGTTGCATGGAAGTTTTCGTGGAAGATGATAATGCTACTTATTTTTTGTTGTACTTGCGAGCCAATCCTATTATGGGAGGATATGATATCTGCAACTTTCGATAACATTCATATAAGTGATTGATTTTGTATTTTGATAACCGTAATTTAGATTGTGTGGCCAGCAGTGAAGACAATTCAGTTCCTGAAATGGTTATCCCATCCAAGGTCGACGTAGCCTTTGGACAATATGAAAATACCAGCTACTGGTATGTGAATGTATCATGGACTCCAATGAACGGTAAGCAACCTTGTAAGCCTTGGATCATGTAGTCTTGGACAGGACTTCTTGTCTTGGAACATTGTTATAACGTGGTTGCCTCTTGTTACATTAGCAAAAGAGTGCCTGATTTCTGATTGGATACCTGGTAATACAAACACCGCTATTATCACCTGGTTCCATGGAAACCTGAATTTATATAATCTACCCCTTTAATGTAGACCTCCAGGGTACCGAAAAACAACGCTGCCACGTTTGGCGTCGCATTTAAGTGGGCGACTGTGATCCAAACTGAATAGAAAGCGCGACAGATGAGAGCCCAAACAGCACATTTAAGGGGCGGGGGGTTAGCTACTGACTAGGGCTATCCAACCCCTTTCTGAGGAAGCAAAACATAAAAAAAAAAATTGAAAAAGACTGTGAATATTATGGCAGAAATAAAGGCAAACGTTCTGGACAGGTACGTAATTGTAATTTCCACTTTCTGGCATTGCTAGAATTTCTGGTGTGACAGTTTTCAATTAGGTGCCAATTCTCAAACTGCAACATTGTGGGTGCATGTTTCATTGATTCTGCAACCCAACGGTACCAGCCATCCCTGAGCCAAAATGGTTGATGATCACAAACTGTTCAAATAGTGTAATTTTTATTTGATTTAAATCTAGTATTACTATTTAACGTTAATGTTATGGTTATACAGCAGTTCCTTTATATTTTATCGTTTAGATTCCTCTGGACACTTATATGGTGCTCTACTTAGTCTAGCCCTAAATTTCAAAAACGACGTAAATTGCACTGTACTGCGAATGGTAAGCAAATTTATACACTTTAGAAATGCAGCATTTCAAACTGCTCTACCTCAGGCTTATGAGTTTTACGGGTAACCTGGAAATGTGTCAAGAGAAGTTGTACTCAGGCTGCCTTTTTTTTGCACTTTTAACTACAAATTGGGTAACAGAAAATGCAGGTTCTGGCACTTTTAAGAGAATAGAAGAGGCAATATGTGTAGATAGCTTGATTCTTAGGGTTTTAAGTCATTGTGTTAAAAGATGGACACGTCCTAGTTTGCACTGGTGGTGCATTGTGTTGCACTGCAGCCATCCAGTTTTGCCATGCAATGCATTATTTTTGGTTTTCATCAGTCTGGCATGTCACAGGCAAAGCAATTAATAGGTCTATATACTCAATATCATTAAGGAGAAATGAATGCTTTAATAAATTCAAGGCAGGGTGGTCCTAGCCCTTGACTTGACTGTGTAGTATAGTAAAAATATAAAGCATCCTAACGAATTCATGAATTCCTTTATTGGAAGCAGCATAAAATACAACTTTTTTCGACAGAATCACTGGAAAAGCCTAATGCAATGAGCATGCATAGGTTCAGGTTTTTATAGTTTTTCAATTCGTATTTTTTGTTTCTATTGTAGCTGAAAAATCCACTTAGGGAGCTTCAATAAAGTTTGTATGTACGTATGTATGTATGTTCAATGATGTGTGACTAATTTCGTCTTTTTGTTTTAGAATCAAACGTTTCTCAACATAAATATATCCTTTTATGGCTATAGCTATCCGGGACCTGTTTATCTATGGGTGAGTTTTAAGATTGGTTTAGAGAAAAATAGATATGTGTACGTAAAATCATTCGTTCGTTCGTTCGTTCATTCATTTATTCGGTCAGTCAGTCAGTCAGTCAGCCAGTCAGTCAGTTAGTCAGTGAGTCAGCCAGTCCGCCAGTCTACCAGTCAGCCAGTCAGCCGGTCCGCCAGTCCGCCAATCCGCCAATCCGGCAGTCCACCAGTCCACCAGTCCACCAGTCCACCAGTGCCCTAGTCCACCAGTCCACCGGTCCACCGGTCCACCAGTTCACCGGACCACCGGTCAGCCAGTCAGTCAGTCATTCGCTCATTATCAGTTTCATTCATTTATTATGCTCTCTCCATTTTAAAGATTCATGGTCTTCCTTACCGCAAAAAAGTAATGGAAACGGCTACATACTACCCAAGTAAGTTTGAATTACTTCATGTTGAGCCTAATGGACAATGATTGCATGAGGTTTCTTTAACATCCAGGTATAATTAAGGTGTTATCCGTCCAAGCCGAATGCTGAGGCCTAAAATGTTCTTAACAACAATAAATGTCAGACAAACCAATTGAATAAGTGACATTGCTGTAATCAAAATCATCATTAGCGTGAGTTAATAACAATAACACTGGGTTCCTTTAATTATTAAGAATTATCTGAGAACGTGCGTGTAACGAAGTTTTGCAAAACTCTCCATTACCTTCACAGTTTTGTAATCAAGGCTCACATTATTTTGGCCGTCGTTGCAAGCAAGGTTAAATGATGAGCATCTTGACTTTGAAATGGCGTCATCATTGACCAAAATGGACCTTTATTTCGGCGATACGGAGGCCATTGTGAATTCTATTGTTTCAAATAGCTATTATGGGATGCACAGGGGGAAAATTAGTATGACTTTATTATATTCTATTGTTCGGAAGGGAAAAGATAAAGTAAAGTGCATAGCATTTATCAACCCTATTGATAAAGGAGGCTTGAAAATGCCCAACAGTCAATGATTTCTGCCCAAAGAACTTGATTTGCATCAAGAGATATCTCTCCACCGATCCCGCTAGCTGGAATTTTTTTCTGGATTTTTATCACAGGGCAAATTAGCATGTAAAAAAGTAGGGGGAAAATTCTTGTTTCATTGTAATTTTAACTATGCTAAACTACCGATAACTCTTCCAGAATTTTACAAAGAATGCATTGTGACTTGGACCCTTTTAAACAAGGACATCCCCTCCTCATCCTCTGAAATAGCAGCTTATTTGCATTGAATCTAAGTCAATTTATAAAAGTAGGCTGATTGATCTTGGAATCGTAAGAATTGGAGACCCCTACGACACAAGGGGAGAGTTCAAGTCGAACAAGGAACCATTATATTCAACTCTCTCACCAGTTGAACATTTTCTACTTTTCAGTCTCTTCAATGCTTTTCCAGAAGAATGGCGCAAAATATTAAAAATAAATTAAAACTCCATCTCCTCAAAAACTCATGATCTAATCCAAACTGAAAACAATTTACGCGCTGAAAGGATCGAAAAAAAGTCAATTTCCAATCGAAGTCATTATGAAATCAAAGTCAGTTTTGTTTCAAAGATATCCAGTATACCAACAGCGCAAAAGAAATACAACGAAGCTTTCAGCACGGACACATCCCAGTTGGACTGGGACAAGATATATCTACTGCCCTTCAAAACAACATTGGATACTAAATTAAGAGAATTCCAATAAAAAAGATTGAACAGGATCTTATACACAAGCAAGATGCTGTTTAAGTTTAGAAAAGTAGATTCTCCCTTATGCGATTTTTGTGAAAAGGAGTTGGAAACCCGATAGAACATCTCTTTTTCCATTGTACAAAAGTCTGTATGTTTTGGGATGATTTAAAGGTTGTACTTAATTCTTTAAATATAACTATATGGCGGTTAGGTTTGATATCAAGGATGTTCTTTTGGGATTTTAGATACGGATAATATAAGCATTATAGTCAACTACATCCTTCTTGAAAGTAAATATTTTATTTACCGCTGTAAATTAAATTATGGCTCTTTATGTTTAAGACTGTTAGTCGATAAATTAAAAAAAGAACGTTTCAAACCGAACGTTTTATCGCGAAAAAAAACAGCAAAATCCATTTTCACGATAAAAATGGAAACCTTTACTCCTATTAATACAACAGTAGCTGTTGTCCAAACCTCGTTTTTCCAAGATTCCCTTAATTACTCTTGAATTTGTTTAAGTTGAATAAGTTATGTAATCCTTGTAGTGTAGTGCAGCGTAGATTTCTTTGCGGTTTGTATAATTAAGGTAATTGTTGTAAATTTTGTAATGGTTATACGTATCGAACTGTATGTTCTTGTACTATACCTGTAAAAGAAAATATAGATCAAATACAAAAAGAGCTCCACCTTCTCTCACTCCCTCCCCTCCCTCCTTCCCTTCCCTCCCTCCTTCCTTTCTCTCCCTCCCTCCTTCCTTTCTCTCCCTCCCTCCTTCCTTTCTCTCCCTCCCTCCTTCCCTTCCCTCCCTCCTTCCTTTCTCTCCCTCCCTCCTTCCCCTCCCTCCCTCC